TCTGAAACTTTTCCCACAATCTGGACATTCAAAGGGTTTCTCTCCTGTGTGAGTTCTTTGGTGTTTCACCAGGTTGGAATTATCATGAAAACCTTTCCTACAGATAGGACACTCAAGGGGTTTCTCTCCTGTGTGAGTCCTCTGGTGACTCACAAGGTTGGAATTGCGACCAAAACTTTTCCCACAGTCACGACATTTAAAGGGTTTCTCCCCTACATGAGTCCTCTGGTGTTTCACTAGGTCAGAACTCTGACTGTAACTTTTCTCACAAAGAGGACATTCAAAGGGTTTCTCTCCTGTATGAGTCCTCTGGTGTATCACCAGTGTGGAATTGCGGCTAAAACTTTTCCCACAGTCAGGACATTCAAAGGGTTTCTCTCCTGTATGTATCCTCTTGTGTATCACCAGTGTGGATTTGCGACTAAAACTTTTCCCACAAATAGGACATTCAAAGGTTTTCTTTCCTGTGTGAGTCCTCTGATGTTTCAACAGGCTCGAATTATTACTAAAACCTTTTCCACAACTAGGACATTCAAAGGGCTTCTCATCTGTATGAGTTTGCTGGTGTATCACCAGGTGGGAATTCTCTCTGAAACTTTTCCCACAATCAGGACATTCAAAGGGTTTCTCTCCTGTGTGAGTCCTCTGGTGTTTCACCAGGTTGGAATTAACTCTAAAACATTTCCCACAAATAGGACATTCAAAGGGCTTCTCTCTTGAATGAGTCCTCTGGTGTTTCAATAGGTGGGAATTTTGTCTGAAACTTTTCCTACAGTCAGGACATTCAAAGGGTTTCTCTCCTGTGTGGGTCCTCTGGTGTTTCACCAGGTTGGAATTATCACTAAAACTTTTCCCACAGTCAGGACATTCAAAGGGTTTCTCTCCTGTGTGAGTCCTCTGGTGTATCACCAGGTGGGAATTCTGACTGTAATGTTTCCCACAATCCGGACATTCAAAGGGTTTCTCTCCTGTGTGAGTCCTCTGGTGTATCACCAGGTGAGAATTCTGACTGTAATGTTTCCCACAATCCGGACATTCAAAGAGTTTCTCTCCTGTGTGAGTTCTCTGCTGTATCATCATGTTGGAATTCTGATTGAAACTTTCCGCATAGATAGGACATTTAAAGGGTTTCGCTCCTGTGTGTGTGCTCTTGTGTCTCAAGAGATGGGAATTTGTAATGAAAACTTTCCTAAATCCCAACACTCACAGCATTTGTCCTACAATGAATCATCTGATGTATTACCAGGCTAGAATTATGACTAGAATAGTCTGGACAGTGAAAGGGTTTTTTCCTTTGATTCCTCTGATGTATCACCAAGTTGGAATTACAACTGAAAGTTTTGCAACAATAAGGACATTCAAAGCTTTTCTCTCTTATGAGAGTCTTCTGGTATATTACCAGTGTGGAATTTTGACTTTCTCACAATCAGGACATTCAAAGGATTTTCTTCTGTGTGAGTTCCCTGGTCTCATGAGATGAAAATTTCTAACGAAGCTTTTCCCAATATCTAGACACTCATACATTTTCTCCCTTTAGGCAATCCATTGATGTATCACCAGACTAGAATTATGACAATACCTTGTTTGGTGGTACTTTCATTCAAGCCATTTTCTTCCTCACAGGGAAAGGCCTATATTCCTCTCTGCTCCACATGGCTTTACTATTCACCTTTTCCTCCAACTGACTTCCAGATATACTGAATGAAAAATAATCTTCCTTGACTTTTCATGTAATGTATCCTTCAGTTGTGCATAATCTGCTTATTCTGGCTTGAAATCTTTTTTTAATTTTCTGCCTTTTGTCTGACAACTTCTGGACAAGGAGCAGCAGAAATGTATGAAAATATTTTGATTTCCGGCTTGATTTACTTCTCTTTTCAACATTGCTTGTTATTTGCAGTTGTCCTGAGTGCCCTTACTGCCATCTTCTTTGTCTGTAAGAGATGATGTGAAAAAAGAAAAATAAATAAATATTACAATAACAGATAATCAGAGTTGGAAGGGACCTTGTAGGTCATCTAATCCAACCCCCCGCCCAAGCGGGAGACCCTACACCATTTCTGTCAAATCTCTTCTTGAAAGTCTGAAGTGATGCCGCTCCCACAGCTTCCGAGGGCAAAGCTATTCCATTGGTTGATTGTTCTCACTATCAAAAAGTTTCTCCTTATTTCCAGGTTAAATCTCTCCTTGTTCAGTTTTCATCCATTATTCCTTGTCTGGCCTACAGGTGCTTTAGAAAATAGCTTGACCCCTTCCTCCCTGTGGCAGGCCTTCAAATATTGGAAGACTGCTATCATGTCTCCCCTGGTCCTTCTCTTTACTAGACTAGCCAAGCCCAGTTCCTGTAACCATTATTCATATGTTTTAGTCTTCAGTCCCTCAATCATGCTGGTTGCTCTTCTCTACTTTTTCTAGAGTCTCAACACCTTTTTTATAACGTGTGAACAAAACTGGATGCAGTACTCTAGGTGTGGTCTTACTAAGGCTTTATAGAGTGGTATTAGTACCTCTCTTGATCTTGATTGTATCCCTCTGTTAATACAACTTAGGGTTGTGTTAGCTTTTTTGGCTGCTGCTGCACACTGCTGGCTCATATTTAGCTGGTTGTCCACTAAGACTCCAAGACCTCTGTCACAGTTACTGCTATTGAGCCTGCTTTCACTCAGTCTATATGTGTACTTTTGATTTTTCTTGCCTATGTAGGACTTTACTTTTCTCTACATTGAATTTCATTTTGTTAGATACGGCTCAATGTTCTAGTCTGTCAAGATCCATCTGGATCTTGAGCCTATCTTCTTGGGTGTTAGCTATTCCTGCCAGCTTAGTATCATCTGCAAATTTGGTAAGTTCCCCTTCTATTCCCTCATCTAAGTCATTAATGAAGATATTGAAGAGTACTGGGCCTAAGACAGAACCTTGTGGCACCCCACTACTTACTTCCCTCCATGTAGACATAGACCCATTAAGGACTACTCGTTGAGTATGGTTTGCCAGCCAGTTGAAAGTCCATCTAGTGGTGGTGCTATCTATTCCACTTTTTTCTCGCTTACTAAGAAGTAGGTTGTGGTCTACTTTGTTGAATGCCTTGCTGAAATCTAAATATATTATGTCCACAGTATTTTGATGATCTACTAATTTAGTCACTGTGTTGAAGAATGAAATAAGATTGGTTTGGCATGATCTGTTCTTAACAAACCCGTGCTGACTGCTAGTTATTATTTAATTGTTTCTAGATGTTGGCAGATCTGGCTTTTTTATTATCTTTTCCAGTATCTTCCTGGGTATTGATGTTAGGCTGATTGGTCTTTAGTTTCCTGGGTCTGTTTTTTTTTTTTTAAAAAAAGCAAACATGGCCCAATACTAGAATAATCTCTTACTTATCTTGTTTATGATTCATTTGACACATGGCTTGAAACAACTGCTAGGATTACTACAAATTTTATGGATCAGGTGCACGTCTGCTTCCACTGTGCCATAGTAAATTTGAAGTCTCAGGGAAGAAGTGGTGAGGACTACCTGTGCAACCCTAGGTGCCAAAATGTCCTCAATAGCTATTTTTTAGAAAGTGCTGGATTAAGTGCAATCCAACCTGGTTAATGCATGGATAGGACAGGAAATAGCATACTTATTGGCAAAATATCAAGATGTAATGGGAAACTTGAACTACCCTGATATCAACTGGGGACAAGCAAATGGGAGATCAAACAGATTCCTAACCAACTTAGCTGATAACTTTGTCATCCAAAAGGTAGAGGAGGAAACTTATTAGTAGAGAAGAAAAGATAGAGGGAGTTGAAGTTGCCAGAACCTTTGGCAAGAGTGACCACATCATACTAGAATTTAATACTACTAAAGAAATATTCCAATATTCCTTAAGAAAAATTCCTTTTCATTTTTTTCAATTTTTTTCAATTTTTCAATTCCTTGTTCTAATTTTAAGTCTTTTTTTCAACTCTGAAATATAATTTTAATTTGTTTTCAATTTTAAAATCTTTCTCAATTTTTTTTTATTATGAATACATGAAATGGATACATATATGAAAAATAAAAAGAAACAATAGGACAGGGAAGGTAGGCACGTTGGTGATCTTATGCACGCCCCCTACAGACCTCTTAGGAAAGGGGTGAGGTCAATAGTAGATACTCTAAGGTTAAAGTTTTGGGGGTTTGGGGAAGAAACCACAGAGTCAGGTAGCGTATTCCAGACATTGACCACACTGTTGCTGAAGTCGTATTTCCTGCAATCAAGTTTGGTGCGATTACCCTTGAATTTGTATCTATTGTTTGCTCTTGTATTGTTATGATTGAAGCTGAAATATTGACAGGTAGGACATTGCAATGTATGATTTTATATACTATACTTAGATCAGACCGAAGGCGGCATAGTTCTAGGTTGTCTAGGTCTAGAAGTTCAAGTCTGGTGGCATAAGGTATTCTGCAACGGGTAGAGGAGTGGAGAACTCTTCTTGTGAAATATTTCTGGATTTTCTCAACTGTATTAATATCAGATACGTAATCCGGGTTCCAGACTGATGAGCTGTATTCAAGTATTGGTCTAGCAAATGTTTTGTATGCACTAGTTAGTAGTGTGATATTACAAGAGAAAAAGCTATGTAGGATTAGGTTAATAACGTCTTTTTGGCTATGTAGTTACAGTGGGCTCTAGCACTTAGGTAATTTGAGATGAGTACTCCAAGGTCCTTGACAGAGTTTGGATCATCAACAAGGTCTTGACCATTCACTCTGTATTTTATTTTCTGATTTTTTTTTTGCCAATATGTAGGACAGAGCATTTATTTGTTGAGATTTGAAGTTGCCATTTCTTTGACCATTCTGATACATAGTCAAAGTCTTTTTGAAGGGTAGCAATATTGTTGGTGGTGTTGAATAGCTTTACAGCATCAGCAAAGAGAACGCAGATGCTCTTAATATGATCACAGAGGTATCTATCTTCTTTTATTATATCTTCATAACTGATTATTATATCTTCATGTTCTGTCCCACCTTGTATCCACAGGTGAGAATCTCAAGTTACAGAGTTCAAATACTTTACGCAAACAAAACCAGAGACAGAAGATTCAATTGCTCTGTTATCACAGTCCTTTGGCAATCCTCCTAGAACCTGTCTGGCAATTCTGTATAGTTCGTAAATCACAACGTTGTAGTCAGACACACTTCTTTCCAAGGCAAAATCCACTTTGTTTCCAGCAAAGATTACGAACTCGTACGCTCCCTTATATCCTCTGAGAGAGGGCGTGTCAGTCTCATTAATTAATCCTTTGCTGGACGTCTCTTTTCTAATTGAGATTGACGTCTCAATCTTCTCCTAGTTCTGGCATCCAGCCAGCATCCGGCAGTTTCATCACAGCTTGAAGCCTCTGATACACTTTCCTGATTGACAGTTAACACCTGAGGTGCAGTCAGGGAAGTAGATTCAGGGGAGGGAGTGGACTCTGAAACCTCCAATAAATCAGGCTCATATCTCAGATCCAACTCCTCTCCCTCTACTTGACTCCCCTCTAAGTCACGAATCTCAGTGCCAGATCTTCTTCATCGCTCGAACCCACATCTGCTGACTGATCAGGTTCAAATCTCGGAGCCACAACATCTTCATAACTGCCTTAGATGAGAGTATAGAAGGGGAACTCATCAGATTTGCAGATGACACTAAGCTGGCAGAAATAGCCAATACCCCAGAAGACAAACTCAGGATCCAGAAAGATTTTCACAGACTTGAATAATGGGCCCTATCCAACAAATGAAATTTAATGTGGAAAAAGACAAAGTTTTACACCTGGACAGAAAAAAACTAAAGGCTCAAGTACAGATTAGGCGAAACCTGGCTCCAAAACAGTAACTGTGAGAGGGACCTTG